CGGGCAGAGGCGGGCAGAGGCGGGCAGAGGCGGGCAGAGGCGGGCAGGCAGATTCACCTCCAGAGTGCTGATGAGAGGCACTGGAGTGACAGGCTCCCGAGTACAGGCCAGGCTGGTGCTGAAGGAGAACTCCACTGACTCGGTGCCAATGATGGTCCAGCAAGAGCTGTCATTAAGCAGCGCCCTGTTGGCCTCCTTAGGGCAGAGGGAAGCCTGGCATCGAAGCCCATGGGATGGAACTGAAGCTTTTTCGCTAGTAGCCCAGCTTACCAAGTTTTCCTTCTAAGCTTCCCAGTTTATCTGCCTCAGGGAGCTTGGGTGAGACCCTCACACTGTATGGGCTCTGTCTGTCTGTCTGTCTGTCTACATATATGTATATGCACATATATGCATGTATGTATGTATGTATGTATATAGCCAAACTCAGTCTTTTTTAGAAACAATATATTTTATTTGTAGTGTGCCTGTGTGTGTGCGTGTTTGAGTGTGTGTGTGTGTGTGTGTGTGTGTGTACGGGTGTGGAGGCCGGAGGTGACTATCAATTGAGGTGTCTTCCTCAGTTGCTCTCTACCTTGTTTTTTGAGGCAGAGTCTCTTACTGAACCAGAGGTTGGCTCATCTGGCTATACAAAGAGGCTAAGGAAAGCCCTAGGATTCCCCTGTCTTTGCCTCCCAGGTGCTGGGATTACAAGCCTGGGCCACTGTGCTCAATTTTTCAAAATAGACGTGAGTTCTAGGGATTGAGACGCCAGAGTTGGCATGGTAGGTGCTTCGTTAACTAGCCATTTCCCCAGCCCCAAGCTTTTGCCATTCTCTCACTGAAGAGTGTAAACTAAATCTCTGAAGCAGTTAGTTTCTAATAAACTAGCTTTCTTAAGTCGTTCTTTCTTGGTATTGGGAGCTGTGCCTAGAACTCTGCACACGCAAGCACTTTGCCAGTGAGATGAATCTCCATTGCACCTCTCTTTCAGACAAGGTCTCACTAAATTGCTCAGGCTGGCTTTGAACTCACCCTAGCACAACAGGCCTTAGATCTCAGCCTCACAGATAGGTTACAGCATACATCACCAGGCTCCTCTGTCTTTGCAAAAAGTATTTTTATTCATAGGCCTCTCTGTCTCTCTGTCTCTTCTCTCCTCTCTCTTCTCTCCTCCCTCCTCCCTCCCCCTCCTCCCTCCTCCCTCCTCCCTCTTCTCTCCCCTCTCTCCCGTCTCCCCTCTCCTTCTCCCCTTCCCCCTCCCCCTTCTCTCCTCTCCCCTCTCCCCTCTCCCTCTCTCTGTCTATGCAAGCATATGCATCATGTGTGCACAGGTCACAGGAAAGTGTCAGATCTCCTGGAACTGGAATGTCAGAGAGTTGTGAGCCACCTGACATGGGTGCTGGGGACCAAACTTTGGTCTTCGGGAAGTGCTGCAAATGCTCTTTACCCACTGAGCTGTTTTTCCAGCCACACCCACTATCCGTCAGCATTGTACAGTTCCAGGCCTTAAGCAGGTGGTAGTGAAGCACACCTTCAATCCAGCACTTGGGAGGCAGAGGCCGGTGGATTTCTGAGTTTGAGGCCACCCTGGTCTACAGAGGGAGTTCCAGGGCAGCCAGGGCTACACAGAGAAACCTTGTCTCCAAAAAACAAAACTTCTATGCCTTAACATTCTACAGTGTTAGCTGGGGTGAGTGGTACATATGTTAGCACTTGATAGATGGCAGCAGTAGGATTATGAACTCAAAGTCAGTCTTTGCTACTTAGAGAGTTCAAGGCCAACTTATGAATAAAACCTGTCTCAAACAAACACCCAAAACCAAAAATAACTGTAATACTTTCTGTGAGGAAATATTGCTCAATAATCAGTTTTCTTTCCTTCTCCTCTCTCTCTCTCTCTCTCTCTCTCTCTCTCTCTCTCTCTCTCTCTCTTTCAAGACAGGATTTCTCTATATAGCCCTGGCTGTCCTAGAACTCGCTCTATAGACCAGGCTGGCCTCGAATTCAGATCTGTCTGCCTCTGTCTCCCCAGTGCTGGGATTACAGGCATGCACCACCTGGCTATAATTATAGCTTTCTATATTTTATTAGTTTATCTACTAACATCCCAGAATAATATTTTGGGAGGAATATTACTTAATAATTATTGTTTTCCCCACTGGATGATTTTGTGCCTTGACATCCTATAAGTTTGTTCAACATTATCCAGTACGATTTTCTACTATGATTTTCTTTATATTCTGCATTTTCTTTTTTATTTATGTAAATGTGAATTTATGCCATATGTGTGTGACGTTCAGAGGACAGAAAGAGGTGTCAGATCCCCTATAGCTGGAGCTACAGGTGGTTGTGAAGTTGTGGGCCACCATATGAGTGCTAGGAATTAAACTTGGAACCTCTGGAAGAGCAACAAGCGCTCTTAACAATTGAACCATCTCCAGTCTCTAGTTTCTGTAATTTTGTATCCCAATGTCTTAAAGTCTCTGGGCAGGAATATTGTTTAATAATGGTAATTACGTCATTTTTCTACATCCTATGACTTTTAATCTCCCAGGGGCTGCATTATTTCCTTAAGAAGCAGCCTTCATGGAGAAGATACTACGTTCTATGGCTGTGCTCTGCCTGAGATGTTTGGTAGTCTTTGCTTCTCACCTGGAATCTCACCACCTTCTCTGTGGCAAGGCATAAGTAGGTGCCAGCCCCTCCTGGGGTGTCACCTGGAAACTGGAACGCACACTTGTGCAGCTGGGATATGGGTTCGTCCACGTCAAGGAGGGCACACTGCTTGGCCACTTTTCGGATGATCTGTGGCAGAGGGGTGAGAGACAGACAGAGAGAAAGAGAGGGAGGGTAACAGAGTGTGGGGTCCCCAGAGGCTCCTGACCCAGCCAGGCAGCTCTATTCTCTGATAGCCCTGAGGTCACCGGGCACACTCCCATTAAGCACTAAGACAGGCGTCTTTATGCCCTGAGGTCTCACCCTCCAGCCCTGTCCACAGTGGGTTCTGTACTGATCTGTGGTTAGCGGTCCCATACCATAGGAGGCAGTGTGATGCCTGTGACCGTGCAGACAAGCTGCACCAGGGAGCCGTAGCGGATGTAACCTTCTTGGGGTGGGAAGTCCCCTTGGGAACAGTGCCCATCAGCTGGGGATGAAGGAAAGAAAGGGAGGAACAAAGGTTCATTACTTCTCAAACCCTCGCTTTACCTCACACCACAGCTGGCCAATGGGGAAGAAGCTAAGACCAAGATTCTAATCCTGAAGAGGTAGTCTGTGGCCATCCCCACAAAGGTGTGCTCCCTGGGGCAGCCACTTATTGGCTGAAGGAGGAAGGGCATAGCTAGCCACTGGGATCAGAAGAGATCGGGTTACTGATTGATTCACTAGGGCCAAGGGCAAGCCTTCATCTTCCTCCCCAAGGGTCAGTTACACTGATTTTTCTGCAGTGTTGATTAAATACACTAACACATACGGAGTACCCAGCCCGCACCTGCTCATGTGATTACCCAGATGGAGGGTGAAGGCAGCCCACTGTCTTGCGCTGGCCACAAAGGCCCCATCTTCCACAGAGAGGTAGCGCGTGGACACTGTCTGAGAGCGCAGGCGATTGAAAAGGGAGACCTTGGAGCCCGAGGAGATACACACTGTGAAGAGAGTGTGGAATCAGTGTCCAGGCCTCACGTGGTCCTTTAGACTCTGACCCACCTGACAGCCTGGCTAATATGCCCACTGGCCTGGACACAATGGGTATTTGCGTTTCATAGCCTTTTGTCTAGGGCCTGCTCCAGTCATGATTTTGAGCCTGCCAGCTCCCTGGTACAAATGGACATCCTTCAATGATGTGAACTGGGTTCATCAGGTCTGCTTTGTAGCAGGCACTGAGTTAGGTGCTGGGTATTGATGCGTGAACGGGGCCCAGCTTTGCTCTGAAAGAGTTCATGGTCTGGAGGGCATGCATCCAACATGCTAACTCCGTGTGATAAAGGCTAAGTTAATGAGGCCTTCTTGGGGGAGGGAAGTTGCATAGATGGCTGCTGGGTAAAGCCCACACGTGTGAAAGAACAAGGGGGCTCTCCTAGAATGTGGCCTGTCTTCCAGACTGTGACATGTTTCATTTTCTCACGGGACTTACCGGTACCAGCTGGGGATAAGGCACTGGGCAGAGTGCTGTCATCTCCCAGTGCTGGACAGACGGTTGGCCCCCCCATTCACACCGGGCCCAAGCCCCTTCCGTTTGATTTATTATACAAAAGAGCCTTCATTTCTTCCCCTTTCCTGTACGTGTGTGCAGGTGTGTGACTGGATGCACCCAGCTGTGTGTGCGTGGATGTGGATGTGTGCGTGTGTGTGCGTGTGTGGTTGTGGATGTGGGTGTGGGTCTGTGTGTGGGTGTGTGCGTGGGTGTAGAGGCCAGAGCCAGGCTCCAGGCATCTCCCTCTAGAATGCTCCACCTTATTCTCTGAAAGAAAGGCTCTCACTGGATTGAGAGCTCACTATTTTTTGGCTAGAACTTTCTAGCCACAGAGTCGGAGGAAGATCCTACTGTCTACTTGCTCAGCGCTGGGATCACTGGCGTCTGCAGCCACTCTCAGTTTTTACGGGTGTCTGAACTCAGGCTCCTGTGTGTGTGTCTTGCAAGCACTTTACCCACCCAGCCATCTCCCATCTTTTATTTTTCTAAATGTATATATCAGCTCAATTCACTCTCTTATTTCCATATGAGAGATCAGGGGCCAGCAAATGTCAGGCCAGGATTTGAAGCTAGATGGCTGCATTCTGCACTCTTAACCCCTACACTAGGTCACCATGCCATGCATCCACTTTTCCTGAGTACCAAGGGCCAGCTAGAACACTGCTTGGAACTGGGACATTCCACAGGATTTCTAAATGACATGAAGGGCTCTTGGTCATTTCCAGACTGGGGGACACTTTCTGGGCAGGCTGTGTCAAGCAAGCCACATGGTATGCTATACTGAAATCAGCCAGTCAATCCACCCTCTCACCTTCCTTCTCTTTCTCCCTCTGTTCTTCTTGCCTTTCCTCCCTCTCTCCCTCCCTCCTAGGCTGGCCTAGGTACAGATCAGGGTTCTCCTGTCTCAGACTAATCTCTAAGTGCTGGAATTACACAGGGGAGCCACCATCTTTGGCTGATGCAACTTCTTTAAGTTTTTTTAATTTGCCCTGGGTTCTGCATCTGGCTGCAGCTTTTGTCTGTTCTGAGTCCTCCACTGTCATCCTCAAATCCGGTATCTATCCTCTTTCCTGTGTCCTGTCTGGAATCTCTATGTATTCGTCTTTTCTCTCTCCTTCCCTAGACTCCTTTCTTTCTACCCAGATTCCACCTCTCACCCGCGACTCCACACGTGCACCCTCCTCTCACTTTTGCAGCTCTGGGTTCGAATTGCACCCTTCCACCCCACCCCCTCTCACGGTCTGTGTTTTTCAGCGACTGCTTCTTCTGTGAGGGCTTGGAGATCACCTTGATGAGGCGACTGTGGAAAGTGCCCAGCTCCCGGCCACCCCGCAGCACCAGCCGCAGCACCAGCCGGAAGTGCTTCCTCTTGTCCGCGTCGGAGATGTACAGGGTCTTGGCACAACCAAATTCCTATGAGACTCAAGGAAATGGGGCTGCTCTTATCTCAACGCTCTGCCAGCGGAAGAGCCAACCTTCCGCAGTTACAACATCCTTACCACTACAGATGACTAGAAGTAGTACTAGCCTAGGCTCTAGGTCAGAGCCCACCCTTTGTCCTCCCCAATTGCCTCTTGGCTTCTGGAGGGGACTTGGGGAGTCTGCAGTCTTGCCTCCTCTGCAAAGAAGAGACAAGGCTGGGAGCAGGAATAGGATGCTCTCTCATGCAGTCTCACCCTGGAGTCCGGCTGCTCTTCGAAGTTCAACTTCTGAGTTTCAGGAGCGCTGCCGGACGCACCGTCCAGTCCCATGTAACCGCAGACGGTGGGCCCGGTCTCAGCAGACTGGTGGGCTGGGAAAGGACAGGAATAAACCCCGGAAGGACTGGGGAAGACTCAGGTGCGGGTCAAACTTAGTTCTTGCCGCCAGAGGGCGCAGCGAGACTGCGCCTGTAACCGGCTGGGCTCCCGGGCCCTGCTGAGGCACTTGGTCCTTCTGCAGAGAACAGAGCAACAGCTCCCTAGGGCGCTCTCACCTTGGTCTTGCATTGGCTTCACCCTCCAGCCGGGGCCGGCGAGGTAGACACAGGGCGGAGGGCAGAAGAACCTGGGAACACATACATCATTTTCACCGACTTAAAAGTGTCTCAATGCCGGGCGGTGGTGGCGCATGCCTTTAATCCCAGCACTTGGGAGGCAGAGGCAGGTGGATTTCTGAGTTTGAGGCCAGCCTGGTCTACAGAGTGAGTTCCAGGACAGCCAGGGCTACACAGAGAAACCCTGTCTCGAAAAACAAAACAAAACAGTGTCTCAAGATGGCACGATTTGTTCTTCTCTCTCCCTGAGTGAACCCCACCAACGGAGAGCATTCTTCTGCTTATTAGATCCCATCAGTAAGTCCTGCCCACTCCATCCTCAAGATATACCTGGAATCTGTTAGATTCCTACCAACTCCACCTCGGTCCTAACCACTATCTCGTGCCATCCCAACTCTCAGCCTCCCAACTGCCTCTCTTTTGTTACTGCTGCCTATTTTAATTTGTTTTTCTCACAGCAACCAAATTACCTTTAAATAATATATTCATTTATGTATATGAGATCTCTATTTGCACGAATGCCTACATGACAGAAGAGGCCACCAGAAAGAAGAGGGCATCAGATCCCAATACAGAGAATTGTGATATTATATTATTATATTATATATTATACATGATACATTATACACTATACACTATATATTTATTATATATTATATATTATACATTATACATTATACATTATACATTATACATTATATACTCCCTGGTTGCAGGGAATTGAACTCAGGTCCTCTGGAAGAGCAGCCAGTCCTCTTAAACCTGACTAGTCTCTCCAGCCCCAGATTACTTCTTAATAAATTTTTAAAACCATTTATTTATTTATTTATTTATTTATTTATTTATTTATTATATGTAAGTACACTGTAGCTGTCTTCAGACACCCCACAAGAGGGCATCAGATATCATTGCAGATGGTTGTGAGCCACCATGTGGTTGCTGGGATTTGAACTCATGACCTCTGGAAGAGCAGTCAGTGCTCTTAAACACTGAGCCATCTCACCAGCCCATAATTTTTTGTTGTTGCTGTTGTTTTTTTTAAGACAAGGTTTCTCTGTGTAGTTCTGGCTGTCCTGGAACTCACTCTGTAGACCAGGCTGGCCTCGAACTCAGAAATCCACCTGCCTCTGCATCCCAAGTGCTGGGATTAAAGGCGTGCGCCACCACCGCCCGGCCTCCCAGATTACTTCTTAAATAACAAGTGGCCTATGTAAAATGCTGGCCAGGGCAAGCATGATAAGTTGACTTCAATGTCCAGAGCCCATCAAAAGGAGGAAGAGAACTAACTAACTAACAACACAGGTTTTCCTTTTAGCTCCACAGGAACTGTGGCATCTACACATCCACACAGCACCAATGACGACGACGACAACAACAACAACAACAACAACAACAACGAGAATAACAGTCAAGGGGTAGGAGAGACGGCTCAGTGGTTAAAAACACTGGCTGGTCTTTCAGAGGTTCTGAGTTCAACTCCTAGCACCCACATGGTGGCTCCCAACCATCTATAATGGGATCTGATGCCCTCTTCTGTGTACAGACATGTATGTAGACAAATATATTAAAAAATATATATATATATATATATATATATATATATATATCACATAAATACATCTGGAAAGCAATAACAGTTAAATTAAGTTGGGTATGGTGGCTCATGCCTATAACCCTAAACCCAGCACGGAAGGGATGGAGCCTCTGAGGCAGGAGGATTAGTACAGATTCAAGTCCAGCCTGAGCTACAGAGTCAGAGTCTGCCTCATCTCCCCAAAACATAACAAAATAAACAATATTATTAATAATAAATGAAAACAGGGCTGGGGAGATGGCTCAGGGGTTAAGAGCACCGACGGCTCTTCCAGAGGTCCTGAGTTAATTGGCAGCAACCACATGGTGGCTCACAACCATCTGTAATGAGATCCAACACCCTCTTCTGGTGTGTCTGAAGACAGCTACAGTGTACTCAGATATATTAAACAAATAAATAAATATTTTAAAAAAGAATAATAAATGAAAACAAAGTCAAATCATGATGCCCTCTTATTAACACCATTTAGTGGTTTAAAAGTCCCAAATCCTCCTGTGACCTGGACACTGTTTGCTTCTCCTGCTCATCTTCTTTAATGCCCCCCCTCTTCTGTCCAGTCTCCCCCTTTCTTCCTCTTACAGTACTGGGTGTACAGCCTTGAGAGCCTTGAGTTTTCTGTTGGAATGCTTCCTGGAGCTTTTTTCATGCCTGGCTCCACCTCAGCAAGGGTACATGAGCTCCACTGTCACTTCCTAAAGAGCCCTGTGACCTCCTTGACCTTACCAGCTAAGGTGTCCCTTTGTGGGTTCTACTTTACTCTGTTTTCCTCCTGGCCCTCATTACAATCTGAAGCACTTTGTCTGCTGGCTTGTGGGGAGGTGACTGCCTGTTCCATACCTGAATGAAAATGCTACGGAAGTAGAGACTGGATCTGTCTTGTCCAGCTGGAGACTTAGTGCTCAGCAGCAACCCTGGTGCGGGACACTTAGTGTGCAGCAGAATGAATGGATGCTGGCTGGGGATGTGGGGATCTGACAGTCACTGTCAAGTTCTGCTCTAGATCCCAGTAGGCAGCTCTTGTTGGCTGGGGGACAGGACCCTGGCTGGACAATAGCTGAGGTGTTAGCCTTGAGGCCTTCAAGATGTTAAAGAAGCTAAATGGTGGTCGGTCTGGAGGGATGCAAAGGACTGAAGGCTGTGGAGGCCTGGGAGCGGGGGAATGGAGCCACCTACCGCTTCTCATTTCCATAGGATTTCTGGGCCACCTTGGCATGCAGGATCCACACAGTCTGCTCACGTCTTTGCTGCAGGCATGTCCGCACGCCTTCCCTCAGGATGGCGGCATGCTCCGGGGGTGACCTGGAAATGGGGGTTGGGCCAACGGACCACAGGAAGGAGAGTCAAGGGCTGAGTTGATGAGCCGAAGTGAGAGATGGGGTTGATTTACCTTCTCTAAGGGATCTGGGGAAGAAGCGTTAGGCAAACAGGAGGACTTGGGTCCTGAGCTAAATATTTGTGTTCCAAGAAGCCCTCACAGAGCCCGCCAGGATCACCCAGGTGCTACACTAGGTGGGTGGCTTCCCAGCCGCTGTCGTCTGGGGCCAAGTGGGAGAACTGTGTTTAAAAGCCCTCCATTTGGTTCTCAGATGGAGGTGGGCTTTGTGGAAATAGTAATCAAGCTTTCGACTCCTAAGGGGAGACATCCTTTGCTGGCTCCAGGTCCAGAGCACAATCTCAGTTCCAGCAGGCGCACCGGGGTAAAAGTAAGAGAGGCTCCAAACCGCATCATCTGGATGGGGGCGGATCTGAGTCTTTCTGATGCCTAAACAACAGCCCTAGCTAAATGCTACGGGGCTTTTCTTTCCTTTAATGTAGCCTGAACTGGGGCCGCTCTCTGGGGTCTGTCGCTTATCAGTCTGAGAGTTTGACTGTGGAGGATGGGTTTGGTTCTCTCAAAGCCTGCACAATTATACGGAGCATGTAAACGAGGCTGTGGTGGGACATATTTGGGAAATTAGCAGGTTGGGCCCCGAAGAGAGCCGAGAACTTCAAGGTTGTCCTTTTGAGGCCTTTTACCCTCACGGCAGAACCAAGTCTCGGCCTTTCATCACTCCTGGAAGGGACAACCGAGGGCAAGAGTCGGGCGCGTCCTCGGAAGCCCAGCCAGGCTAGGCAGGCGGCAGCCAGGACCGCTCCGCCTCTTGGGGCTCTCCTCTGGGAAGTGTCTCGTGTAGGATTCCAGAGCATTCCAGCTGCCCGGAGTGTCGCCGCCCGACTCCAGCTGTAGCCGAATTCCGGCCCGCAGCTCGCGCCTGCAGCTCTCAGAACGGCAGGAGAAGGGGGTGCCACGCTTGCGGGGGCCCGGGTGTTGAGAAGAAGGGGGAGATCGCTCCCTGCCAGTGGGAGGGGTCGCAGCCCGCGCTCCCCCTCCCCACCCGCCCGCTCCAGGTTAAATGCAGCTGCCGCTTGGGCTCGCTCTAGCTGTCTGGCATTCCCCACTTAGGGCAAGCTGCCCACGCCGCCGCCGTTACCTGGTCCAACTCCCCAGGAGGCTGGGCCCGTCTCTCTGTAGCCGCACCTCTGAGCTGTCTGGCAGGCTCAGGTGAGTCAAAGGGCCCGGGGGCACCGAGGGGTCTGCAGGGGAAGCCGGTGTAAAACCTTTAGGGGGACAATTCTTAACAGCCTACGTGTCCAAGTCTAACATGCAGTACCTTTCCCGATCGCCTCCAGCAAGGCCAACAAAACGCAGGTCCTCCCCTCCTTCCCTAATAGCCTACCTCCACGTCTGGCACCTTCCCAAAGTGTCCATTCCCGGTTAGTTCTTGAACTCATAGACCTGTTTGGAGTTCACTTTCCTTGGGAATGCACTTTCCCTATCCCAGGGGCACCCAAAAAACTTTCTCTTCAATGCAAGGATTCTTATCAGGAGACCTGGGTTCACTCTAATAGGCCACCACTTCAAAGCACGGTGACTCTCTTTGCCCTCCCTGGACCGACTTTCCTCCGGTGGAACAGTGGGTTTGCAAAGCTGATGTTGAGATGGCAGCTGTTTTGACTTTCTAAGAGTCCTGGGGTGCAAGCGAGTTGACATCAAGTTTGTGTTGACTTAAGCCAAGAGCAGGATAAGGGAGCCCTTAGTCAAAAGCCAATCCTGAATCTCAAAGACACGGTGTACCTTTACCCAGATGCTCGCGCCAGGGTGCTGCCTCCGCTATGGTCCACTCTAGAAAAGGCTTGCCCCTCCTCCTACCTCCACCACCAAGCAGCTGGTACATCTAGCTAGCTCGTCACCTTACCACCACAGACCCTGCCAGAAGGATTTTTGTTCTTCTACCCTCCCTGGAAAGCCAGAAAGGAGAAGAATCCCGGATAGAAAGCTGGTCTGGAGTCAGAGCCACACACCGGCCTTGCTCAGAATAGGCTCATTCAAGGAACTGGGAGGTGGGGGGAGCAGCGGTGGGTTAGGGGGCGCTGGCCTGCTCTGCCAAGAAACTGCAGAAAAATGGATAGAGCAGGCTCAGTGTGCCTGTGGGGGTGGGGTAGGGAACGGAAGAAAGGCTTAGTGATTCTTAGGTGCAAGGGAACCAGGCTGCTCTGGAGGAAGAGACAGGGCTGGGGTCTAAGGGGGTGAGGGCTAGGTTTAGTTGTGTGCCTGAAGCCCAGCTGGCAGCCTTACTAGGCCCCACATTTTCCATTCGTACAGTGTGTGTGTGTGTGTGTGTGTGTGTGTGTGTGTGTGTGTTTCCTTCGTGGTTCTCAGGGGATCTAGTTAGACTAAACAGGAAGGAGAAGGCTCACCTGTTGTCTCCCTGGGGTCCATAGCCGCCCGTCGAGGCCCAGGTTGCTCTCTCGCTGCCCTCTGGGTATGTCTGATGCCGCTGCTTCGATACCGTTCACACCTCTAATCCTCGATCCGATCCGTGCACTGGATTTATCTCGTCCAAGCCTTATCTCCAAGGTCCTGGGACTCCCAGCTGCCTGTTTGCTCTGGGCAGGGACACCTGCTGGGCTTCCCACAGCAGTAGAAGCCAGACCTAGCAGGCGCCCCCTGGCGGCCTCTCCTAAGAGCAGGCAAGTCAGACACAGAGGCGTTTCTTGTGCAGGACTCCACTCAGTGGCCTAACCACTAAGCATCCAGACACCAAGAGCTGCTCTTGGGGTGTGGCACGGGGTTGGGAAAAGATGGGGAATGACTTCTGTTCACAAAAGAAGAGAGTGTGGAGCACCTTAGTTGACTTACACACCAGCTAGACAGGACTCTATCTCGGCCCGCAGTCGCTTTCCTGCTCTAAGGCGTTGGGTATCGGCATTTAATTTCTTTAAGCCTCTGTTTCTGAATAGGGAGAACGGAACCGACAACAGCTTTAAGTGTCGGAACCACGCAGAGGGTTAATGCCACAATGGAAAAGCACATTTAACACTATACCTGGTGTTTAGAAAAGAGTTCATTCGGGGACTGGCAAGATGGGTCGTTGGGTAAAGGTGCTTTCTGTCAGGACTGAATACCCGAGTTCAGTACTGTCTAATCATGGAACACACACAGGGGAAGGAGATAACAGATTTAAGAGAATTGCCCCCTGACCTCCACACGTGTGTGCGCACACACCATATACATGTATAGATGTAACACACACATATATGTGTATATGGTATATAATATATATGGTATGTATGATCTGTAATACATACATACATACATACATACACACACACATATATATATATGGTGTATATAATTCGTTATATATATCATGTATGTGGTATATATGTAAATATAACTTTAATAAAGGCATTCCTCTTCTTTTGAGTTTTATGTGTTTTTGTCTACTTCCTATTTACTTGGTGCCCTGTAGTTCTGCAAAATGTCATTTTCTATAAAGGCTCCCCTGTGAATTTCAGCAATCCCAGTGTAGTGACATCAAAAAATTATCATTAGCCTTTTTTGTCTTGAGACAAAATCTCACTATGTAGCTCTGTCGGGCCTGGAACTCACTATGAAGAACAGACTGGCCTCAAACTCCCAGAGATCTCCCTGCCTCTGCTTCCCGAGTGTGCAACCATTCCTGGAAAGACATTTTGAACATATGCAAAACCAAAGTGTATATCCCCTGAAATAAAAGCGTAGTCAAAACGGTTGCTTTACTAACTTTTTTTCTACCCGCAGGCTGTGACATTTTGGTTCTTCATCCTTACAAGCACCATGAGAGGCCTTCTTTGCTGGCCACTGTCTCTGTTGCTGCTCTTCCTGCAGTCCTGGGAAACTCAGCTTCAGTCTGCAGGTGAGCTGGATCCCAGCCCTCACATGGGAGGAAGGGAGCAGAAACATTATTCGTAGTGAGCCAGCATTGCCAGAGGGGGTGGCGCTGGGGGACTGAGGGACAGCTGTGTGCATGAAATGGGGAGGCGGCTTTGAAACACACTGGGCTGGATTTGGGCTTCCCACTTCACCCCTGGGGTGTTGTTTCCTATCCTGCACTATGTGGAATAGTTTTGGGTTCACAAAGAACTGTTCATTCGATGTTGACTTTTATTGAAGCTTATTGAAACCATGGAAAAATCAGGAGACTCCACATAAAAACCCATATTTGAGAATTTTCTTGAACAAAACAAAATGTCAGACACCTGATTGCTGGGACAATCCAAGTTATCAGGGATACGGGAGAAGTGATGTTATAGACATAACCAGCCAGTTCATTAGTTTATGATGTCTGGCTGGTTCATGTAGCCATTTGAGACTGCGACATCTCTTTGCTCACACCTCAATACATAACACAGACTCAGAACAGCTCCCAGAACTGCATACGGGGAATTTGTGCGATTTCCTGGCTCAGGTCCCCTTCAAATGATTGATGAATGACTGTGTCCAAGGCTTATTTATTAGGTTAACGACGTGCTGGGCGCTGTTCCATTCAGATAACAACATTTCTTCCGGCTTTTCCTGAGAGATCAGATTTAGTTGACCCTTCCCCATCTTCCCACAGGTCCTAGGTGCTATAGTGGGCCCCTGGATTTGGTGTTCATGATTGATAGCTCCCGCAGCGTGCGCCCCTTCGAGTTCGAGACCATGAGGCAGTTTCTAGTGGGCCTTCTCCGTAGCCTGGACGTGGGTCTGAACACCACGCGCGTTGGCGTGATCCAGTATTCTAGCCAAGTCCAGAGCGTCTTTCCCCTGCGCGCCTTCTCGCGCCGCGAGGACATGGAACGCGCCATCCGCGCGGTGGTGCCGCTGGCACAGGGCACCATGACCGGGCTGGCTATCCAGTATGCCATGAACGTGGCCTTCAGCGAGGCCGAAGGCGCGCGCCCGTCGGAGGAGCGAGTACCGCGCGTCTTGGTCATCGTGACGGACGGGCGACCTCAAGACCGAGTGGCCGAAGTGGCCGCTCAGGCGCGCGCCCGCGGCATTGAGATCTACGCGGTAGGGGTGCAGCGAGCCGACGTGGGCTCTCTGCGCGCCATGGCTTCGCCGCCGCTGGACCAGCATGTCTTCTTGGTGGAGTCCTTCGATCTCATCCAGGAGTTTGGCCTGCAGTTCCAGGGCCGGCTGTGCGGTGAGTTAGAGTGCCCCTGAGCTCCGGCTATGCAGATGCTCCCTTCCAGTTTGCATCATTACAGGGGATCCCTCAGTTTTACTCTGTCCTCCGGGTACCAGTAGCTGTGGTCCCTACTGCCGAGTGATGTATCGCATTCTGCATTCCGGGTTTGTCCTACAATACTCAGCAGCCAGTCATGCTTTGCCAGAGACTGGCCACATCACACACTAAATGTCAACCCCTCACGCCAAATGTCTTTTAATCAAGAATCACTCAAAATGGAGAGTATTGTTGGTCAGGAGTCATGCCCCGCCCACCCGTGTAGGTTCCTCCTACTCTAAGCCCCTTTTGTATAAAAGCTATAAGAACTTTCTTTGCCACACTGTGTGTGTGTGTGTGTGTGTGTGCATGACTGGCCTTGAAGTCGATTTGTAGCTGAGGCTGACCTTGAACACCCGATCCTCCTAAATCCAAGCAGTGCAGTGCTCTCTTCTGAGACCATTCAAAGGGGTTACTTAAGTCCTATTCTTCCTCTAACCCTCTCACCTGGACCGGCCCTCTCAAAGAAGCAAATCCATACTCTAAGTCCATACTTGGGAATGGAATTTGCTTCAGACCCTACCCCTGCCCTACCGTTCAGCCTTCCCCTTGGATGCTTCCGCTCTGTCTGTTATCTGTTGATTGCCCTTGTGTATCCTCAGGGAAGGATCTGTGTGCTGAGCTGAGACATGGCTGCCAACATCTGTGTGTCAACACCCCAGGAACATTCTACTGTGCCTGCAACTCTGGCTACAAGCTAGCACCAGATAACAAGAATTGTTTGGGTGAGTGCCAACCCATCCTGCGGTTGCACTGTCTTCTTTGGCTTCCCAGCATCCCAATAACTATTTGGCAAGTTCTCTAGAAGTAAAAGCACACCCCCTTCACTGTACAATTCATAGAAAGAGGGACTATCACTTGGGGCCACACAGATCTTTGGTAGACTGGAGCTTGGAGCCTTGCCCTCCCACAGTTAAGTGTTCTCCATTCTTGCCTCTACACCTCAGCTCTCTCTGTGGCGCCTCCTCTCTGCAAATCTTTTTCTTTTCTTTTCTTCTTCTTCTTTTTTTAAATCTGAAAAGCTACAGTGTGTGATGCCTTGCTTAGATGAATATTGGGTTTTTTTTTGAGGTCCTGTGACTGTGTTTTCTACCACTCACAGAGTGCCTGATGTTGGTGGGCCTTCTAGACATTCACAGCAACTAGTTCCATGATTTTAGCTTCATGATCTGGAAAGTGGGGTCGTGTGATCCCAACAACTCAGTTGTCACATGGGCCTTCTTGTGCTTAGAAACTTTAAAATGCTCAAGGATGGGCTGGAGAAATGGCTCAGTGGTTAAGAGCACTTGCTGCACAGCCATGACGACTTTGGATCTCAGGGCTCATGAACCAGACAAGCCTCTGGCAAAGGCCTGTAACTCCAGCTCTGAGGTGGGAAGAGAGGAAGATCACTAGGGCTTGCTGGTTTCCAGTATAGCCAAGAAACAGGAGGTCCTGGTCACAGGGAGTGACCCTGTCTCAAAGGAATAGGTAGAGATGGATGAAGAGGACATCCAACACCTTTTCTGAGTGCACATAACAGTTGTGCACACCAGCACTCTCATGTACTCATTAACTACCTACCTACCTACCTACCTACCTACCTACCTATCTACCTACCTAACTATTCAAAAGTTAGCTTAAAAGGATTAGTATGTACTCCCATTAGATATCTGGAAAATGCATTCTTGTATCTGTACCTTGCACTGGGATTCTGTTCACTTTCCTTCTCCCTCTCTTTCCTTTCCTCTTTCCTTTCCTCCTTCTCTCCTCTCCTTTCCTCTTTTTTCCTCTCCTCTCCTTTCTTCTTCCCTCCTCTGCCCTCCTCTCCTCTGCCCTCCTCTCCTCCCCACCCCCACTTTTTTGTTCCTCAAATTCATGATCCTCCTGCCTCAGCCTTCAGAGCAACAAGGTCACCAACGCACACCATCATGCCTCACCTTACTGCTTGCCTTCTTTCTTTCTTTCTTCCTTCCTTCCTTCCTTCCTTCCTTCCTTCCTTCCTTCCTTTTTCTTTTTTTTTCTTTTTCTTTCGAGACAGGGTTTCTCTGTGTAGCCCTGGCTGTCCTGGAACTCACTCTGTAGATCTGCCTGCCTCTGCCTCCCAAGTGCAGGGATTAAAGGCGTGCGCCACCACTGCCCAGCTTGCTGTATTCTTTTTACTCATGATCTTTCCTCATTTTTTTTCAGTTCCACATGGCCACCTTGTTACAGTCTTTGCTTTACACACATGCACACAGAAGGCCACGCCTTCATATGTACATGTGTCCATTCTGTTAAAGGTGGAAGTGGGCAGGTATCTAATTAAT